CACCTGTTTGACATGCCGAACGGAAAGTTCTACGCCGTGATGGACTGTTTCTGTGAGAAGACATGGAGCCACACTCCTCAGTACAAGATCGGATACTGCCAGCAGTGTCCGGACAAGGTCCAGTGGCCGGCGGAGTTGGGTCCCAAGCCTCCTCTCTACTTCAATGCCGGCATGTTCGTTTTTGAACCTAGCCTCTCCGTCTATGATGAACTCTTGAGGAAGCTCAAGATCACCACTCCCACCCCCTTCGCCGAACAGGACTTCTTGAATATGTTCTTCAGGGAAACTTACAAGCCAATTCCACCAATTTACAACCTGGTTTTGGCCATGCTATGGCGACACCCCGAGAACATCGAGCTGGAGAAAGTGAAGGTGGTGCACTACTGTGCGGCCGGGTCCAAGCCGTGGAGGTTCACTGGAATAGAACAGAACATGGACAGGGAAGACATCAGGATGTTGGTGAACAAATGGTGGGATATTTACAATGATGAGTCACTGGACTACAAGAATTATGTGGTTCCCGATGAGGATGAGGCGGTGAACTGGCAACCGTTCCTGGCGGCACTGACGGAGGCCGGCGTTGTTCACCACTTTTCAGCTCCATCCGCTGCGTAATTGGCGGTTCCCGTGGAGACACATATATAGGACTAATGTGTGATTAGGTGATTTTTTATTTTATTATTTTTAGCCTTTCTCCTTTTTATAAAATGGAAGGCTTTTTAAGCCCTATTTCAGGGTTGCGTGGACTGAATAGGACCCCTGTTTCCTCTTTTTATTCTTTTTTTTTTTTTTTAAATGAATACATATTAAGTAAATGAAACTTAGAAAAAGGAATTTATGGTCCCATTTCATTGTTCTGGGGACTGGATAGGACTCTGTTAGTTTTCTTTTTCTCTGCTGGGTGTAATTGTTTTGGATTTCGATATAATAGTATAATACACAAATTTTTTCTGTACATTCGTTGTTGACTTCTTGTTCTATTTATTTATTTAACATAAAACCTATTCAAATTAAATGTTATAGTTAGCTGCACAACATTATGAGTACACAATTATAATATTACATTAAATAAATTAACTATATAATGATATATTTATTATATAATATTGTAAATATAGTATTTACATTAAAAATATGGCTATATGGATCTATTTAACCCTTCTTTTTTTTTCTTTTTGAAGATGTTTCCCTTTTCAACTTAGAATTTAACAAAAGTCCCCTTATTGTTGGAAAAGTGAATGAATTTCTCTTGATTTCCTTTTTCGAAAATCTCAGCAAATAATGGATATGCACAGATGATTTATAAATTTTACAATGAATGCAAAATATTTAGAAGATATGGAATTTCAGAAGGTAAATCAGTTACATTCAGCAAATTAATTTCCACATTAATTTACTACCTTTCTTTTTTCTGAATTTTTCACTGTTGTTATATATGATCGTTCTGCATTCTTTGCAATATATAATCCACAAGAATGGTCCTGTCCGGCCTTTCCAGTCTCTGCTGCTTTTCTGTTGCTTGCTCCTTTCCTCATCTTCCCTAAGCCGTCCCTTCTCGTGTCTGCATACGGTTATTACAGAGCGATCCGCCGCTCAAGCTCTGAAGACTTACCCTTCCTGTCATTGATATCCCTAGAGCTGGCAATCATCATGCTGATGAAAATTACCAGACTTTAGTGTAATATCGAAACAACAGCACTGAGAAGGGATTCAGAGATTTCTTTTGAAAACTGTCTAACGATTTACCAAGATATGAAGGACAAAACTCAAAGCAGATCATCAGTTGTCACAGCAGAAGCAGTTTGAGAAGATCAATAACCTGGGTGGGTTGACTACTCTTGCTTACAACTGTGAGAACGGGCTGCCTTTAAGCTCTTCAGCAGCTTCCATCACTGAGGATATGCTTCTTATTCCCTCCAGACTGCAATTTATGTCAATGTATGTGTTCAATCGACTCCAGAGTCCAATTAATGTTTAATCTATTGTTTTTTAAGGTTTTAAAAATGAATCCTGGGTTTGTTTCTTGTCAATTTAATAAAGTTTGATTTTTCTACTTAGGTTCAAATTTGATGCCTCTTAAGTTTCTAACAGAAAGATGCACCATTGCTATATGACTAAAAATCTTGAAGCAACCAGCTGTGGGAAGTCAGACCGAAATGTGCTTATATAAATTGACTGCGATGTGAAGCATTTGCAGTCATCAAATGTTATGTCCAAAACAAGTACAAATTGTCGTACTCTCTGACAAAATTTACTGTAATGAATATGTTGAACAAGTATAGATTGTGGTATTGTTGGACAAATCAAGCTCATATCCTAATGAATGTCCAGAGAATTACCTGGAATATGAAGGCGTCGAGGAGGAGCATTATGCTTACAGAGTGCGTGACTGATTGCGGAAGGAGGTGCTGGTTCCACTCCGGAAAGTTACTTGGAGTTGCCTGAGGTTTATATTGGTGCAAACAGGGGGGATTCGATCCCATATGACAGGGT